TTAGTTTTATTGGTTTATTGTCCGCGCTGATTTGATTGATGAACAATTTTTTATTCAAACTGATTCAGTCATTTTATTTATTAATCGAAATATTTGAAATAATCTATGTATCTATTATTAATTTATTATTCGTGCTGATTATGATTCTTATAACCTGAATTCTGAAAATTTATATACAAAATATTGATATTAATTTTAAACATATCTGACACAAAGTTGTGTGATGCACTTGCAAAGCTCATCTGCTAAATGCTTTTCCATCAAGTTGAAATAAAAAAATTAAATCAACATGTGAATAATAATATGTCAAATTTCTAAAATTATTCAAATGTTCAATGAATATGAAATGAATTTATCCAGATATTAAAAAAAGTTAGATTAATAAATATCCAGATGGTTAGTTTTAACTGGATCAGATCATATCTCAAAGATTCAATTCTTTCGAGGATTGTTTCTACAAAGTGCATCAATTAATGTATTTCATTCTTCAGATCTGTGTTCATATTATAAGATGCAAAGAAGCCAGGAAAGTGTTCTTGGAAGCGCATCTATATATGCTTTTTTCTTTTCTTGCTCTTGCAAGATATACTTGCTAAAGTCCTTTCCTCTTCTGATTCAAGTTTATCAGAACATGGGTCAGCATGGTGTTCCTTTGTTAATGCCTTTCTACTTCAATTCAAAATATCAGTATTAAGTATGCTCAATCCTGATTGGTCAACTTAAATACTGTGTCCCATAAAATTTAAATTCTTCTTCCCGGACTCAATGACCCGGCCGGGTTATGAGAACCAAAAAAATTAACTTTACCTGGCCTAAGAATTTTTTTTATTTTATAAATAATATCAGATATAGTACGTATTTATATGAGATTTATTATCATATTTTTAAAGCCAATATTTCAGTATTTTTCTTATACGCATATTATATTAAGAACTTTGACGTTCTGGTCTGTAAAAATTATAACTTATAAACATTACAAAAGTAAAGATTACGAGTATTTTTTGAATTCAAACCAGTAATATTAGATGCAAAGATTATGAAAAAGCGAAGGGAAGCGTGCATTTTTTTGAAAATAACAACAGAATTTGAGTAGAAATAACTTTAAAAAATCGTATTAAAATTTATAATTTTATTATGTTATATTTTTTCTTTAAAAGTTATCTCTACGAAACTTGATGATTCTAACTAACCAATCAGAATCGGCATTTTAGCTCATAGTCTCAGCGCTAACGTTTTTTAAAGTGTTTTGAAAAATCTAAAAAAAACTGTTTAAACCATTTTTTATAACCCCTATCAGTGATCAATAAATTTATTTATTTTAATTTGTAAACTTGTTTATATAATGTATACTTTTACGATCGTAAATTTTCTTTAAAAAAATAAAAAAGATTGCTTATTTTATCTTCGGATAACTCCTATTTCATTTCAAACCAAAATAGGACTTTTCAAACTTCCACTTATTTTCAAAATAAGTTAACTCTGAACCTCTATTGATTTATATAAAGATCACTGACTACATTTCAAGTCATTTACCATCCGTGAATTGACATGCGTTAAACGTTAATAATTGTGCATATAAATAAATCTGGAGAATGCGCGCCTAGTGTATATTGTCTGTTAATATTTTTAATATATTGCAATGTATCTTAAATTTTGTAATAAATCCAATGAAAGCGAATATTGATATGAGAAGGTTGCCAAAATATTTCTTATATCGAATGTTTCTTATATTGAGAGTTCCTTGTATACCGTAATTCTCAATATAGTGGGCATGAGAGTTATTTTGAGTTGTGGCCCGAATTAAGCTAAATTTCGAAATTACACCCTTGGCGTTATTCGGTATATCGGAATATTATATTGTGGCAAGTTGGTTTGTTTTGTGATCCAATGTTTACTGTAAATCAAATTTTCATGCTTGATTTGTTTCGTTGAAATGAGCTGATTATTCGAATATATTTTTATTATTGCACATATAAATGCTAACTTATACATAATAATTAATCTATATCTAAAAAAAAATTCATTATATTATTCTTCATAAAAGCAATTACAAAATATCGTAGCCCCGTCTCGGGTCATACACTAATTCTTTAACACTACAAAATGACGAATGTCTGATCGTACAGGTATCAGATTTAATTTTGGTCTACAACTTTTTAAGAGATTTAAATGCGTTTATATGACTCTGTTACTGTACCTTTCTTTATCATGTAAGTCACTATTATAGAAATCTTCTGGTATTAGTTTTTTATCAATCTTTTTTCTATTTTTGTAACATTTTTTATAACACACAACAAGACCAAATAAAAAAGCTATACCACCAATGCTTATCATAATATATAAACTAATTTTATATGTTGAACTATTTTCATTTCCAGTTGAAGAATCACTCTGATTAGTTGAAGTACCTTGGACTACTTCATTAAATGATGAAACCCAAGAATAAGTTTCTGTATTAAATATATAAATATTATTACTATATACGAATGGTTCTACGACTACTTGACTGGTTTTTAAGCCTGAACAAAAGAATATATATTAAATAAATTTTATGCAGATAATTTAAATAAAAAGATTTATTATTGAACACAATAATTACCGAATGCGATGATCATATAAATACCATATAAATTAGCAGTGTGACGCGCAAGTGATGGTGGTGCGTTTGTCGTGGAAATATTTGGAACAGACCATAGCCAAGTATTTGTATTTAAAACTGCAAGATCAGGATAAACTTGTTCAGAATGTTTTGCACCGCCAAAAATAATAATATTTCCATCTTTAACTAATTAAAAGATATTACTTTTTTTAGTTCTTAATTTTATATAAATATACATAATGATATTATTCAATTACGTGTTTAATCTTGCTTACTTAAAACTGCAGAGTGTCCAGCACGAGCTTCGATAGTGATACCACTTGCGGTCTTAAATGAAGAAATAATATAAGTTATTATTACTATATTATTACTACGTATCATGAAATTAAGTTTATGTATATTTACTTTATTAGACCAACTCAAAGATTTTGTGTCAAATATAAGGATCTAAATTTACATAATATGATTATTATTCATGCATCAAATAACTTCATAAATAAATAATATATACTTGAATAATATCATCGACCATACATCATTGGAATCAGCAAAAGTAAACGCTGATGATGGCGTCAATTTAATATGACCACCAATATAAATAATAAGGCCTGTTGGTAACAATGTTGCAGTATAATCTATGCGAGGTAAAACGCCCGTGGGTAAAGTCAATGTTGACCACATCATTGAAGTAGTATCGAATAAACTCATCTCATAATATATATTGCCTCCTCCGGCGCTGTATCCTGCGTTATAATAAGTTCCACTAAAAATATATGATTTTCCATTACTATCAATAACTGCATTAATCTCACTTCGGTCAATGAAAGAATTATTAAATCTATTAATAATTGGTATTGTCCATTGTAAATTTATAGGATCAAATTTATATACTGCTGAAGATGTTGAGGTCATTCTTCCTCCAATTAAGAATATTGTTGAATTATCTGATGTTTCTACACATGTACCAAAATTAACACCAACTGGCATTCCAGCCGAAACTTTTTTAAATTGTGGTGTGAATATATTAAATGTGCTTGATAAATCAATATAGAATAAATCGTTAGAAGCGTTCGTAGTTTGTGTCGCTCCACCAAAAAAATAAAGCTTGGTATTAACTAGAGCACTGCAATGTTCGTTTCGGGCATCAGGAATGTATTGACAGATTACAAATGAACACGTAAAACTTAATATAAAATAAATGCAAAGCTTTTGAAAATTCTTCATATCGATTTATTTACAAATCGTAAGTCTTACTGTAGCAAACTCTTTTACCAATGGTACATGGGTAACTAATTTAAATGGTTTACAGTTCTTTTTAAGAATGTAATGTTTCACTAATAAAAAATCACATAAATATATCATTAATAACTTCAACTAAGTATTAATGTTTCACCTACGTCCTGTCTAATTGATTGTAACACCATACTGGGACTATTTGTAATCACACTTTAATTGTAGGTGGTTTGTATCTATTTTCTCTTTTCTACCTGAAAGATAACAAGAGTTTTTTCAAAGGATTAGAATGGCGGTCTTTTACTAGAAATTCCCTTTAAATACTATAAATATTTTTTTTCATTTTTATTGTTTTATTACACTTTATTTGGGATCCGTATTATTTCACCGACAATCATTTCCTAGACATCACATTTTACCGACAATTATTCACCGACAAGTTCATTTTACAGACAGTCTATTTCATCGAAGCTCATTTCACTGACAAGTTTTTTTTTATAAATTACACTAACTTTAACTCTAATTCTACCTGTCCTATTGATATTGACCAGAATTACTTTGTCTATAAAATGAGTTTCGGTGAAATAGACTGTCGGTAAAATGAATTTGTCGGTGAATAATTGTCGGTGAAATGTGGTGTCTATGAAGTGACTGTCAGTGAGTTGATCGGACCCCAAAATTAACATATATAATTTTTATACATTATAGTACTTTATATAATAACTATATAAAGTTGTAGATTTATGTAGAATTTATTTAAAAACAACTTTGTGATGAATTAATTATCAAGAAGAAATAGAGTTTAACCTTTTATTCGCAACTCTTCAAATAATGTACTATATCATAAGAAGAAAGAAATTTAGTATAATTCCGAAATTAAGCACCCGAAAATAAACATTACTGGTCCGCAATATGTAAATTTTGGCCTGCTTTATGATGATCTTGGCCTGCATTACATGCAAAAAGTGGTAATTAATTTCAGAAGCAGGATTAAATAAATACCTATTTGTTTCCTAATACACTTTAATATTCTATCGAAGCAAATCTTTCTAGGATTTAAAGTCTGCTTCAGAATCAAATTCTTGCCATTCATAAATGGTACACTTTCTTAATATTATTATTGATCAATATTTACACGAAGAAGAAACATATGGATTCCGTTTGGCAGGCTTTACAAGCTTTATATTTTTTGTGTTGTAATGTTTATGTCTCCAAAGGAATATTTCATCCCAAACATACAACTTACCGTATTTTGTGGAGTAAAATATCTTCTTAGCATAATAACCTAATTCCTTTTTTAGTAATTTCAGAGTAAAAGATCCGGGTACTATGCACGGTTTATAATATGATCGATTATAAAGTACCTCTGTAGTATTGTACACGCTTTTATTACAGTATCCCCCTTAGTACAGTACCCGGGTATAATTAAATATTTTCTTATGCCCCGGGTATTTTACTCAACAAAATACAGTACATCTTATTACCCAATACATCTCTAACGATAATACATAACTATGGTAAATTCAAAAATCATATGCAATCATCATGTTAACCAGAAAAATACTTGCATAAATGACAGATCAAACAATAATTTACAACATAACAACAAATATTTTTCAAATAAATATTAAATTTGAATGTGTTCATTTTGATATAACGACAATCATATTTGTATTAAGCTGGAATTCAAGAATATGTAAAGATATGTAAAAATTCTGCCAATCCTAATCGAAATGACAGCTCACTTGGTTAATTTATTCAATTTCTGACTTGAAAAACTTGCCTCCGATCCATTGAGTGATGTTGATTCAGAAAATTTTATCAAAATTGAAACTCACGATTCTAATACCTACTCGAGGCATTTATTTATTATCAATTATTTATAAAAATG